CTACTCATGGGTTTCAGCTCCAATAAGTTGTGATGCTCTACATTCGCCTGTCTCTCCAATTTGAGGGACAGTGGTTTGTCCTGTGTCCTTATTTCTCTCACAAATCCAAGAAGAGTTGTGGATTTTTTCACTTTGTTCAGCTTTTTACTCCTATGAGGATGGGCCAGCAGACTTCTAAGCCGCTTACACCTTGAACTGGAAACTGGAAGTCTGTCCAGTCTTTTTTATTTTTACGTTTTCCCGTGATTCTTGCATAACTTTTGTAGGTAGCAGGTTCTTAAGGACATTAGCTAAAATTTTTTGAACATTTCTAGTAACAGTTTGTATTTATAAGAGCTTTCTAACCACCAGACACTGTTGTAAGCATTCTACATACAGAATCTCATTTAAACCTCATAAGAACTCACACATGAGTACTATGTTATTCCCACTTTACAGATAAGGAAGCTGAAGCACAGAGAGATTAAGCATCCGCTCCCAAAGGAACACAGCTGGTGGATGTTGGGGCCAGAGCTCAAACTTGAAATGTCTGACTTGAGAACATGGTCATACACACCATGCTCGATTACCTGGCTGACTTCTACACGTCCCAAAAATATTTTGACCTTATTAAACTGTGAATAATTCAAATATCCAATGGATTGTTTCCCATTCTAGTTATTTTGGAAACTGCTAATATGATATTTCAATTTACCATCCAAACACCTGAAATTACTGGGAAAAAAGTTACTTTGAGTATGCATCTCCTACAGATCATTACAAGAAAAGGATTGTGTTTTTATGTAAAGTACACAGAAACTACATAAAAATATAATCCCAGAAACCCATGAAGGTCTTCCTCAGCCCATCAGAGATAGTCCACACTGGCTAAAATGAATCTAGTACTGGAAAAAGACTTCTATGCTCCTTTGAATAGAAACAGGCATGCTATTTTCTATGACAAATTAGCACTGAGTTTTACGTAAATATAACTTCCAAGGTGCTAATGTTTTAAGCCAACCTAAATTGTCCTGATTCCATTACGCATACATTGAGGTTCACCATTAACAGACAAGACAAAGATAATCACTGCCCTGAGGGCTATGCTAGCTGTATCAATGTATATGCATTTGTTTTAAAGGTAGCCACTATTTGGTCTTCTTTCAAATTGACAGAATATTTTGTCCTCTTTATGGAAATATGGTTTATCTGCACCACTAAACTCTGCTCTTTTTCTGGCAACTGATTCAGTTGAAAAGTTAAGAAAATATTCTGATTTCATTGGGATTCACATTGATAAATTTAGAATACGTGGGTAGCAGGACAGAGATGTTTAAATATGAAAATTCAGGATCGACTCTAATCAATGTTCTCCCTTATCAATCAAGTGAATAGTCTATATCAGGAGATTAGATTAGTCAACATCAGGAGAGTTCAAATCATCAGGTAAGCTGTTATGTCCCACCCTATTCTGACATGGCTGAGAAAGGAATTATAATCTAGTTAAATTTACACAGTGAGAAATACATCTCCCAAAAGCACAAATAAAGTACACGGGAACACCCTTATCTGCTCTCCACTCAAAATACAAAAACACTTCCATTCCTTAATGTTATATTATGGGACACTCTCTTTAAAACACAAGTGCTAAGCTCTTTTGGTTTAATAAATCTGTGGATGACAAGTACCTAATGGATTATGGATAGATTCATAGTTATATTTTGATATAGCACAATTTTTCATTCATTCACTCATTATTGATGTCTGCTCCAGGCTGGTGGCAGCACAGGTATCAGACTGAGAGTCTATAATGGCAGCACAGTGTGCCAAACATAACCCTGGGGATGGAGACAGTGTGCTCTGAAAGAAGGGAATAAGAGATAGCCTTCTGGAGGTGCTCAGAGAAGGCTTGAAGCAGGCAAGTGCTGAGGGATACTACATTTCCCCCACAGAACCAAATATAAGTATGGTTGAAAGCTGGACTGATGTAGTTAGAGCTTTTTTTCCTCTGAAGTAAGCATTTCATCAAGTTCTACAGGTTTAAAATGCGTTTATAGACTTAGCATGGCATTGACCTTAGATCATTTTCTACAAGGGTTGTATGTTAACCCTGTACCAGGGGCAGGACAAGAAAATGGGAATTCCAGGTTTGGCATATTCCAAAACACAGTCTAATAAGAATGCATTTAGCCAGGGTTTCCCTGGCCAGTACTGCAGGTTGTGCACTGAACAATCCTAAGGAACGCCATTCCTAACATAGACATTGTAGAAATATACATTTCTCANGCAGGACAAGAAAATGGGAATTCCAGGTTTGGCATATTCCAAAACACAGTCTAATAAGAATGCATTTAGCCAGGGTTTCCCTGGCCAGTACTGCAGGTTGTGCACTGAACAATCCTAAGGAACGCCATTCCTAACATAGACATTGTAGAAATATACATTTCTCATCAATGTATATTCCAGCAAATGGCAATAAAGAGTTTGGTTTTACCTAAAGCGGTGTATTAGGACAATTTCTGATAGATGGAAATAAGGTATCTTGAGAAGAGAATGCCCTTTCTCTAATTTATGCAAAGATTCTTATGGGCTATTTAGGCTGCCCTTTTTTTGTTTATCCCATACATCACCCTTGCCTCTGTCAGGACACAGGAAAGAAAGCGGTCACCTCAGG